GAAAGCGTCCCCACTGAATAGTTTTCATCTTGTCTAGATGGGTGTGGTTAAAAAGGATAGGGATAAGATTCTTAATTCCACAGTGAGTAACTGTTATCATGACTAATAGCAACTGTCACAATTGTAAAGGTAGAAATGTTGTAACAAAAACAGGGGAGTAGTTAATCTTACAGTCCAGAAACAAAGTACCCTAGGACCTTCAAGGTCAAAGTGCACAAGCGGAATGCAAGACCTTATCCAGAGAAGGAGCAACACCAGAGATGGAGGCAGAGGTGGGGACATGGAGATAGGGAGCAGCTGAGGACTCTAGATTCATGGGAAGCGAGGGACTAAGAGATGGCGGCCAGGAGGCAGACTTGAAGAATGTGCCCGTTGGTGGTGTAAATTATTATAGATGCCTGAGTGTTTAAAAGAAAAAAGAAAAAAAAAAAGAGCTAAAGTGAATAGAGAGAAATACTGTTAACTGATGGTACAGGGAGGGGATTATAATCATTGTAATGAAGCAAGGTGTATGATTTGTTGAATGTAAAACAGATAATCTGCCCTGTAAACTTTCACTCAATCCACAATAAAAACCTTAAATACATACATGTTTGTGTGTGTGTATACTAAAAAAGAAATGGAGAAAGCTTTTTTAGCAGGTTGTTTTTTTGTTGTTGTTGTTTTTTTGGCTTGTTTTCACTGGACTTCCAAAGTGAAAAGAGAATCAGTATTTCCATTTTCTACGTTCTCCCTTAACATTCAGGCCTCCCTTAATAGTAGCACACTCTCTGTTTCATCCACATCATTCATCATTCACCTACTAAAATGGAACCTAGACTGACACTTACTTTGTATTTCCTAGCCATCAAGATCCTTTGTTTTTTTTTTAAATCTAAAGTTATCTACCCCTTCATTTACTTTCTATCTGGTTTTTATTCTTTTTTTAATTCTCCAAACTACAATTTATATTCTCAAGAGATTCTCAAAACCCATCTAATTAAATCATTCAATCAGAAAACAAATTAAAATGAAATATCACTGCAAACCCCCAAGGGGAAAATAAACTTTTCATTTATGACTAGAACAGATCTCCAGGGTAAAGCTCCAAAGCCTGTTCTAATTGAGAGTCCTACTGAATATCCTGAAGAACATTTAGTGACATTTGCAGTTTCCATGACTTTTCTTCCAAGGAAAAGACGAGCCTGAGCAAGACTCCGAAGCAAAACATATTTGTTTTGAGAATGGGATGCTTTCGTTAATGACTAATAGTTGCACTGGGCATCAGCACTAAGTGTTCATTCATTCAGCCACTTGTCCATCCAATACCTACTCTATGTAGAACGTGCCAAGAACAGCCCTAGGCACTCAACAAACATTTGTTATGTGAATTTAATCTCTGACTCTCAGTGCGAAGCAAAACAAAATCCAGAGTTTCCTGAGTGTATCTATGGAAAGAGTTTCCAAGTGGAAAACCTACTGCCTCCATCACCCCTAGGCCGTCCTCTGAGATCTCTCACTGTGACACCCACTTCCACCATCATCAACTGACTTCAATGAGGCTCTCTTTCCCTCAGGTCCTCTAGCTGTTTTAGGAGACAGTATGGCACATTGGGAAGAACATAGTCTCTGAAATGGCATTGTTGTTGTTGTTGTTATGTGCCGTGGAGTCGGTTCCAACTCATACCGACCCTGTGCAGGGTTTCCGAGACTGTAAATCTTAACGGGAGCAGAAAGCCTCATCTTTCTCCCGCGGAACAGCTGGTAGTTTCGAACTGCTGACTTTGCGGTTCGCAGCCCAATTCCTAACCACTACGCTACCAGAGCTCCTTCTGAAATGGCATTATCTGGTTTTAAATCCCTGGATACAATTGACTCATTGTGTGAACAAGAATAAATCATATGATATCTCAACGCTTCAGTTTCCATATCTGTACAAAGCTACCTACCTCATAAAGTGTTGTTGTTGTTAAGTGCCGCCAAGTTAGTGCTGACTCATAGCAAATCTGCATAGGGTTTCTGAAAGTGGGTTTGAACAGCCAACCTTGTAGTTAGCAGTCCAGTGCTTATCCTACAGTGCCACACTAAGGTGGTGAGGATGAAATAAGTCAATGTATATAAACCACTAAGAATAGTACCTGGCACAAATCTTTTTGGGAGCAGAAAGTCTCACCTTTCTCCCACATATAATTTTTAGCTCTTATTCATCCTGGTGTGGCGCTGTAGGGTAAGCACTGGACCGTAAGACTGGCTTGAACTACAAGGCTGGCAGTTCAAACCCACCAGCCACAGCTGGGAAATCCTATATAGGGTCACTATGAGTCACAACTGATTGATGGCACTAAACAACAACAACAAATTATTATTACTGTCACTTATTTTCTTTACTTCAGCAGTATAGCTGGATTATTCAAAAGGCCCTTATAACTAAAGAGATTTCATAGTTAAAATACATATAAAACCATTCTGTATGATATAAATGATTAGCCTGTTTGACTGCTAACTGGAGGGTTAGCGGTTCCACCCAAAAACACCTCAGAAGAAAGATGCACTGTACTTTTGCAAAAATCAGCCATTGAAAACCTCAAGTAGAAATCCTAGTTCTACTCGGATACACATGGGGTTGCCATGCATCACCATGGGAGTACATTTTAACATCCTGTATCAAGTTCAGCAGTCTGACCACATTGTTCTTTCCCACTCTTGACCTTCAGAGAGCTGTATTTGCCCTCTTACTCCCTAAATCCTAGCTCAGGAATAGCGACAGCACCTCTGTCACTAGCCATCCTACACCATCACAACACAACCAACAGAATAACCTCTGCCCTCTACCTGACTTATTTTAAGTCTTTCCCAAGTCAGTAACACTCTCCCTTCCCTAGCCACCTACAGGAGTTGCAATGCAAACATTTTAACATACAAAAGACCTTCTCTTTACCCATATACCCAGTGTTTTCAGAAATATATTTGCAAGTCCCAAACAATGCATTGCTGTATATTTTCCTGGGAGACGTATTGCAAAGGTCCTTTCAACATCAACAATGCATGCATTTTCATGCAGAGTCTTTGAAATACTGTGACATGGACCATATTCAACATGGTAGGGTCCACTCTGTGAGTAGTTCTGAGTTAATAATGTCCTGTCACTGCTTCCCAAAGCAGTGCTTTGCTCCCTCCCTCCCTTCCTGGCCAGACAGAAAGACATAAGAGAATGCTTTTCCAGGAGCATACGTGCAGGAAAATCTCTCAAAATCTGTGGGCAAACTAGAAATACCAAAGTAAGGCCTGGCCTAGGGTATTCCTGGGAACACTCTAAATCACTCTAGTGCAAACATTGTACTTCTATTGCTGATTAACTGTCGATCCAGATCTATGGAACGGAAAATGACAAGTGAGAAATAACAACAACATACACCTATCAGATAAATGAATTGAATCAGACAAACCCAGGCGCCAGGTTGAGAGAGCAGAGGCAGATACAAAGAAGCGGCCCTGGTTCTATTTTCAGGTGAAGTGTCAGAGTGATGTTATTGTTTTTAAGTCATTAGTCAAGAAACACAATGGATGTGTATACCTCTCCGCACTCACCTGCACTTCCTGTGGGAAAAACATACACCAAATAAATACGGAGCCGTGGCCCCCTACCCTGGCAGGGGCAGCAGGTGCGTGGGCTGATTCCTGGGGGGTGAAAGCCTTCAATCCAACTCAATATTTGCCAAGGTCTGTCTGCTCTGTGCGTAGGACTCAGCACCTGATGGGCTTGCAAGGGTTACGGGTGAGCTAGGCTCAACCCTCTCTTTAAAAGCCCACAAGCCTGTTAGAAAGCAGGGGGCATGAAGAGATGAAGAAAAAGAAGTGTGAACGTGAGAAATGCGTGTGTGTGTGCACACCCCAAGTCCTGTCCAGGGTGTCCGAAATCCCATCATCTTCCTCTGACAGCTCACCACATCCCACCTCCCCCTTCACCCTGGACCTAGCCTGGGCGCAACCCCTGGATGCAGCCTTTGATGGCAGGGATACCCTGCTCTGTCTGTCCACTCCACCCAAGCGGACTGGGCTTGGGAGTGAAACTATCGGAGATAGCGGCCTTCAAACAACCCAGCACGGTCCTGGGAGAAAGGTGCAGCCCAGGGCTAGTTCTCTCGGTCCTGAGCGGAGGCGCCACCGCAGTGTACAGAGCCCGGGACTCCAGTGCTTCTTCCCGGCGTCCACACCTACCCCAACGGAGAAAAACCAGAGGGTCCTGAAACCGCGGACCTGGGTGGGAGTGCGGACCGTTGTAGGCTCAAGCAGTCCCCCAGCTTCAAAGTCCAGCGGATTTCCCCCTGCATTTCCACCCCACTAGCAAACTACAAGGTCCGCGGTTGGAGTCTACCAAGCTGTTCCATGGGGCAAAGATTTTTTTTTTTTTTTTAAGTCTCGGAAACCCTATACAGGGTCACTATGAGTGGGAACTGACTGGAAGGCATTTAACAACAAGCTAACCACAGAACTGGGGAGATGCAATTTTCTGAGTCCTAGCCCGTCCCACAGCCTGTGAGGATAAAACGACCACAGCTGGGGCTGCGCGGACATCTCGCCCTGGACCCTTAACAGTAGCGAAAAGAGCTCGAATGCCCACGCACGCTCTGCTGTGCACATACAGTCCCTCGTACACACACTCTGAGATGGACCTGCGTGTGAGCCCGAGCGCCCGCGAGCAACCAGCCTGGAGTCACACGCACATTTCGACACGTGCGCAGCGCGCCCCCACACCGCTAGCGAGCTGCACGCACCCGCGCGTGCAGCCCGCGCACACACGCGTGCCCTGTAGAACCGCGCATGGCAGCAGACGCGGACGGTCCCTTTCTCAGGCAAGAACTGACAAGCAGTTCCGTATGTGTTTGCAGCCCCCTATGCATCTGCGGTCCCAGAACCCCCCCGCTGTCTCTCTGCTGAGACGCATCCACCTCAACACGCCCGCGCCGCGCGCTGCGCACTCGAGCTTCATGGACCGCCCAAGTTTCCCGGAGCGCTAGTACCTTGGATATGCTGTTTGATAACATTCTCCAGGTGGTCCAGTCGCTCAATGATCTTCATGGTGTCCCCTTTGTCTTCCTCCAGCTTCTTGTCGGGCGCCGGCTCCTGCCCCCGCACATACACACTAGCGATGTAGTTGGTAACCCAGCCCACATAGAGCAGGCAGATGATGTTGGTCATGCCGCTCAAGATCACGCAAGTGGACACCAAAGTTTTGGTCTTCCTGGTACACACCATTCTGGGCTCCCTCCTCCATATAGAGCTCCCTGGGGCCCCTCCTCGTCGTTCGCCCCGTGCTCACACCCACTAGTACAAGCCGGGTAGCTGGGCGCTTGAGCACCTGAGTCCTGATGTTTTCCAAAGCTCAATCCTCTGGCTGCGGGGCCGCCGTACCCAAGTTTACAGCTCTCGCTGCTGCCCACCAGAGAGGGAGCTTGACAAAGGAAATGAGGTATTTGGGTGGTTTTTTTCTCCAAATTAAAAATCCCCGAGCCCTTTCCAGAGAGGTCACGGGTATCCAGCAGCAGCACACCCAGATACGCTTGTCTGGGAAACTTTGTCACTGCCTAGGTCCGCGGCCGCGCCGCTTCCCATCGCCCAGCGCCGGGTGCCTTGGCTGTCCGACTGACCCGCGCTGCTAGAAGGACAGCGGTGGCGGCAGCGGCTGCGGGGAGAGCCGCGGAGCTGAGCGGCCCGGCCCCCTCCGAGCGACAAGCGCCACCGCCAATCGCGCTCCGACTCTGGAGAGGGGCCGGTGCTGGGCCGCCACGGACCAACGGGGAGGGCGCGGGAGGCGGAGTCCTGCCCCCCGGCCCCACCTGCTGGCCGCCCCTGGCTCCCGCCCCCCAGAGACTCGCCTGAGCCTTCACCCTCTGGCTGCCCCAGACCTGAGGCACCTGGGAAGGACACGCCCGGTCTCCGGATCCGGAGATTCCGCGGGGAGAATCTCCTGCTTTTAGCAGGAATCTCGGGCTTTGGGGGACTAAGGGGTTCACTGTTCCTCACCTACCCTGGGCGTGGGGCTTCTCACACTGATCCCGCCGGCCTACTGCTCAACCTTTTTTTCTGGTCCTCAGGACTCTTGAGAGTAGCCAGGGAATGGTCACCTGTCCTGCGTTAGCCATAAGTCTCTGTTGCCCTCCACTTCTTCCTTGGCCTTACTTCAGCCTCCACTCTGACGGCCCACGTCTGTGTATGGGCTGCCAGAGCCGTTCCAGAACCTCCTGGAATCTCCGAGAAGACACACTGGTGAACTGTTATTAGATGATTCTGGACCACCACCACCATCCTAACAAGTTTTCTGTCCCTATCTAGGTTTGGTTTTGCTCTAGGTTTGTGCAGCTGGTTGGACAAGGCTCTGTCTTGTAACAGTTTTATGCATGTGGAACTAGGCTCATTCCATGCACGGAAACATCCCGGGAGGGAAATGTTAAGCTCTCTCTGGCTTGTAAAGCTCCTCTACCTGCTATTTATGGTATTAGGGAGGGCAGCAGGAAAGAACTGTGACTGGCAGCTGAGGAACACCGCTGGACTCCTGTGGTGATACTATTTTGTTATTAGAGCAAATGTTTATTCATATTACCTCCTCTGCTGAACACCCACTTCTCAGCACCTGAACAGAATTCCTTTAGACAAAGCCCTTTCAAACAGATTTCCCTCTTATTCATCTCGGGAGCCCTGGTGTGGCGCTGTGCATTAATGTGCGGGACTGCAAGGTCGGCTTGAAACGCAAGGTCAGCAGTTCAAGCTCACCAGACACTGCTTGGAAACCCTATACGGGGCCCACTATGAGTCAGAACTGACTCGAGGGCACTTGACAACAACATCCATTTCCTGGGGGGGGGGGGGCTTTTTCCTGACCTTAAGAGCCTGCTGTGTGCCCACCCTGTTGCGTGTCAGCCATGGTGCTTCTCAGTCAGGTTGGCTTCCTCAGGTGATGTCTGCTGAGATCATAGGACTGGTTCCACAAAAGAGGTACAACCCAGAACCAAAAAGGGACACTTTATGGTCCAAACAGCCAAGGACCCTTCAACAAATGCATTTGCTTATAACCTGGCCCTCCCTAAGAGACTGTGAAGATAGACACTAACTAGAGATTCTGGAAGATTCCTTTTCTCACAGGTAAAGAAGAGAAGAGGAGAAAGAGGAGGATATTTGTATGTGTCCCTGAGAGAAAGAGAGAGCACACACAATTTCTGAAAAAATTCAAGGCAGAGAGAAGTGTGCTGCCTGCAGGAGGGATTAGCTCTCAAGGAGCTCTGGTAGTGTAGTGTTTACCAGTTGGGCTGCTAGCCACAGGGTTAGCAGTTCGAAACTACCAGCTGTTCCGTGGGAGAAAGGTGAGGCATTCTGCTCCCGTAAAGATTTACAGCCTCGGAAACCCGGTACAGGGTCGCTCTGAGTCAGAACTGACTCCATGGCACATCACTACCACTCCCTGTCTCCTCAGGAAGTCTAAGTTGGACTTCCTTCTGGTTGGCTCAAACTGCTGAGTAAAGGCTTTGAGTATATTAATGGCAAAAGCCTAATCCCTCCTGTGCTACACTCTTTCCCAGCAGTCCTGGGAGGTCAGCTCATCCCAAGATCACTCTAAACCACCAAAGGGCAAGAGGGAGAGGAGAGAACATTCATTTTTCACATTCTTAATGACAAAAGGAAAAGGCCCAAATTTGAAAATAAAACAAAGTGAATCATGTGACCTTAAATTTTCTATCAGCTGGAGAAATACAACAAAGAAAAAATGCAAAGCAGGCCCCTCTCTGAAAGATCACAGGGCCAAGTTGATCAGTTCAAAGAATGTCCACTGGAGGTTCAGCCAGACACTCTTGTTGTTGTTGTTGTTAAGTGTCGTCAAGTTGGTTCTGGCCCACAGTGACCCTGTATAGGGTTTCTGAGGAGCAGCTGGTAAGCTTGAACTGCCAACTTTGCAGTTCAAATGACTTTGCCGTCTGGTACATTAACTCACAGCGCCACACCAGGACTCTAGGTTGATCTAATCACAGGTCTACCACTTCTTAGTTAAGTGACCCTGGACAAGTTACGCACTGTCACTAATGATGAATTTTCCCACTTGTCAACTTGTGAAGAACTGAATGTGAAAAGTAAATGAGAGAATGCCCAAGAAAGGGCTTTAATTAGTGCAGGACACATAAAGGGCACTAAGGCGATCGATCATGTGAGTTTCCCTTCTAGGATACATGCCTCCCCTTCCAGGCCAGAGATCAGCTCTATGAACCCCATCCTACTGGTTGCTGTTGTTGTTAAGTCCCATCAAGCAACCCAGTATGGGGTTTCCGAGGAGTGGCTGGTGAGTTTGAACTGCCGACCTTGTGCTTCAAACTGACTTTGCTGTGCTGTCCAGCACATTATCCTGCAGCGCCACACCAGAACTCCTGCTGGTTAGTCAGACCTGATTCCTCTCCACTAACCAACATCAGTCCTCTCTCCTAATGAAAACCAACAGGAACTGAAACTATAGGCAGCAAGGGTCTCATTTTGGCTAGCTAGGCTTTAGCACATTGGCTTTCTATTCATAATGTCTGTCATCAATATCACTGAGGCAGTGGTCTGCATGTGTTTGTTAAGAAAAAAAAGATTTGCAGTCCAGTTGATTGTGACTCCTGGTGACTCGAGGTGTTACAAAGTAGAACTTCTTCACAGATTTTTCTTGGCTGCAATCTTTACAGAAGCAAATCGCCAGGACTTGCTGGCGCTGCACAAATGCCTTTGTTCCAACCCCCCACCTTTAGGTTAATGTCAAACACAAACTGTTTCAGCACGCAGGGAGCTTTCTTTGATTGATTGATTGATTGTTGTTGTGGTTGTTGTTAAGTGCCATTCAGTCAGTTCTAACTCATAGTGACCCTGTATAGATAGGGTTTCCAAGGAGTGGCTGGTGAGCTTGAACCACTGACTTTGTGGTTCAAACCGACATTGCAGTCCAGTGCATTGACCTGTAGCACCACACCAGGACTACTTGGGTAGAGAGGCATGTCTTTGGTCCCCAGTTCAATTACTCAATCCAATCAGTATTGATTGAATCCCTGAAGTTTTATCTGAATGATTAGTAGTCGAACTTACCGCGTGGTGGTGATGATGGTGTGCCGTGGACTCGGTTCCAACTCACAGTGACCTTGCATAGGGTTTCCAAGGCTGTAAATCTTTATAGAAGCAGAAAGCCTCATCTTTTTCCTGCAGAACAATGGATAGTTTCGAACTACTGGCCTTGAGGTTGGCAGGCCAACTTGTACAGACATGAATGTAAGTCTTGTAATGACCTCTTTCCTGAGGCTGGAAAACTGCTATAAAAGTCATCCTTGGTCTCTGAATTTCAAGCTGTGTCTTTTAACTAACTCCTATGTGTTTCCTCATATTTAGTGTAAATAAATCCTGCCCCAGGAGGTTATTGCAAAGAGTAGATCACAGAATGGGTAGGAGCAGGCCTCACATGGACTCTATCTAATACTAAGTAGCTTTTTATACTTTTCCCCAGCATTGAACTTGGGACCTGAGTTCACTCCTGCTACAAAAGGAAAGTGTGCACTTCAAATAATCAGAAAAGGAATGGAACCCCTGACAGGGTCCTCCCAGTGCAACCTTTGGGTTTCACCCATCTTCTCATATTGAATAGGCCACTGTGCTCTTGATGAGGAGCTAGTGCGACTTCTACCCACAAATACAGCCACCTTGTCATCCCACTGACACTAAGCCTTCACACATAGAATTTTGATAACAGAATCAGAGAAAGCTGTAATTGTTCATAGAGTTTAGCCACCAAATGATTATATATTCTGGTGGGGTACCCTGACCTGAGGATTCAAGAGGAAGAGTGGACCAATCTTGGCCAATGGCAGTCCACCATCAGAAAGGTCTTCAGTGGTCCTTTATACCCACCAGATGGCAGCACCATGCAAAGCCGTGCTAATTAGTGTTTAGGGGTAAAAGGGCAAGAACTGGTCCTGATGGTAGAAAACCTCAATCCCTGGCCTGACTTGGTGAGAAGTAGGGTTACCTGTTTCTTAGGGGAACAGACATTGTTGAGGCTTCCAGCAGGGTTGGATGTAGGTTTTGGTTCAGAGACAAAGGCTAAGAGGAATCACAGATCCAAGACTGGGTGTTGCCAAGTCACTGGCCTGAGATATGTTGACAGAAAAGAAATCCTTCTAGGAGAGAGAATGTTTATTTAGCACCTACTTTGTGCCAGGTCTAGTGTTTTACACGCGTTGTCCCTTGAGCACAGATTTGGGAATCTGGCAGTCTGGGCTCATACTCCAGTTCTGTTATTTGCTAAATGCATAATCTTAGGCAAGTTACTTCTCTGTGCTTCAGTTTCTTTATTTGTAAAATAAGGATAATAATAATTCCTACCTCATACCTCATAGGACTTCTGATGTGGCACTGTGAATCAGCACTGGACTGCAATCCACAAGGTCGGCAGTTCAAACCCACCAGCTGCTCCTTGGAAACCCCACACAGGGTCACTATGACTCGGAGCTGGCTCGAAGGCACTTAACAACTTACCTCATAAGTATGTTGTGAGACTAATGTGTATAAAGCCCATGGAAAGTTGTTGTTGTTAGGTGCAGTTGAGTCAGTTCTGTGTGACCCTATGCACACTGTACAGTGCTGTGCTGTTTTCACAATTGTTGTTGTATTTGAC